TACTACTACTACTACTACTACTACTACTACTACTACTACTACTACTAGCTACTACGACTACTAGCTACTAGCTACTAGCTACTAGCTACTAACTACGACCTACGACCTACGACCTACGACGTATACGACCTACGACCTACGACCTACGACCTACGACGTATACGACCTACGACCTACGACCTACGACCTACTACCTGCTACCTACTACCTACTACCTACTACCTACTACCTACTACTACTACTACTTATACTTACTACTACTACTGCTACCTATACTTACTATTATTTACTACCACTACCACTACCACTACCACTACTACTACTACTACTGCTACATCTACTACTACTACTACTATTTACTACCACTACTACTACTACTACTACTACTACTACTACTAGCTACTACTACTACGACGACGACGACTACTACTACCTACTGTTACTAATACTACTGATGCTACTACTACTGCTACTGCTGCTGCTGTCCTTTCCCCATTATCTTTTTTTCGCACTGTTATTTTTAAATAGTCGTCTTTCCTTTTTCCTGCTACAGCCAGTGCATCCAACACTCTGACCACCCCACTACCAGCCTTACCACAGTTACCACAATTACTTTCCTTTTTGCAGTGACAGTGCCACAAAGATGGATGATAAGGCCCACCTTTGCTTAGCCGTGGTTGCGCCCTCCCCCGCACCCCCTCCCGTTTTTTTTAACAGTTCACATTGCCGTCCATTACCCCTACTCCTACCAGTGCCCCTATCATTCCGACCACCCCACTACGAGTCTTACCGCACTTACCACAACTACTATCGTGTTTGCGTTGATGCTGCCACAAAGGTGGATGATAAGGCCCACCTTCGCCTAGCGTAACAGCCAGAACCTTCGCTTAGTAGGAAGCGCTGTGCCCTACTACTACTATTACATACTATTACTACTCCTCCTCCTCCTCCTCCTACTACTACTACTACTACTGCTACTGTCCTTTCCCCATTCTCCTTGTTTTCGCTGTGAATATTTTTTTGATGCTGATCCTTGTATTCTTTTGATCGCTCACCATCCCTACCAACCCGGGCCATCCTTTCAACCGGACCGAAGAACCGCTGGAGCTCGGCAGACCGAAGCTCGGCCAGACAGGACTGCACAGGCGCCATCCGGCAGGGACTGTAGGTCGAGCATCTGAAGCTGCCCATTTGTTATCTCGGCTTTATGGACCCTAACCTGTGAGTGTTTAACCCTGCTTTTGGTCCTCTTTGTATGTTGCAGGCCTCAAACACACCGCGACAGAAGATCACACAGCTCGACCGCGATGGCGATGTTCGTTTCACTCGACACGACTGGCAAACAGGTCGACTCGACGGTCGATCCTTCGTGTCTCAGGTCCGTCGCTCCCGGCGCGCCATGAGTATGGACCAGAAACCGTCCGTGACGTTGCCCAATCAGCCAGAGGAGGAGACTGGAGACGCATGGCACGCATGGCTCCCAAAGTATGTCTGATAACATTGACATGAATCTTTGCTCCGTTCGTAGCGATGCCCTTTGCTCCTAGTAGCTTCTTGCTCCTAGCAGTGCGGCCAGGAGCCCCGAGTAGCGTCCTTGCTCCGTTCGCAGCGATGCCCTTTGCTCCTAGTTGCTTCTTGCTCCTATGTTCATGAATCCTGTGACTGGAGAGAATGTTGGATTCTCTGGCGGCGTTGGGGTCCCCAATAGCCCTAAGGCCAACAGAATGAGGTTGTCACTTGTTGTTTAGGCTGGACTTTTGCACAGGAGTTGTCCTCCGGTGATGCTGACCTCCCTGAGCTGCAGCGACGAACCGCTTCCAAGCCTACAGACTACCTGCCATCACTCTCCGTGAAGCGCCGGGCTGGCAACTGGTTCAAACTCCAGCCGAAGATGCCTACGGAGCGATCAATACCACACGGATACGACGGATACGTGATACGATGTTCGGTGACAACATGACAACATGGTACGACCAGTCTTTGCCTTCTTTGTACCATTGCTTGGCAGGGGCCGGGCCTTGTTTTTTGGTGCCAGTGAAGCTGTGTTGCTTTTCATGCCCGAATCGGCGCCCCTACTCCAGGACAAACGTATGGGCAAATCAAAGACCATGAAGGCCAAGGCGAAGGCCGAGACCGTGAACAACGGGACGCCCTCGAAGACCACGCCGGAGAAGAGGATGCATGGCTTGGGTCGTGATTGACCTGCACTACAGGAACTCCTTGCGAGAAGGGATAGACAAGACAGAAAGGGCAGGAATGACACACAGTCACACTTATATCATATCTATATATACCAGGACCCTCCAAGGGGTGTCTATTTATAGCCGCTTAGCTGTTAAGAAGTGTCCATTAACCACCCCTTGAAGGTCCTGGTACACTCATATATGCATCATCTATAGACACTACGTGTCCTCACCTGGTTTTGGCGGCGGAATCTCGACCCGGCCACCCACCGGTGCGACCAAGGACCAAGACCCGGCAGTCCTCGGTGAGTGATGCGACCGCTTGCGTCCCCACCCCTCGAGCCGCTGGCGACACCCAGAAGTCGCCAGGGGCGGAAGAGTCAAGGGCGATACAGGAGATGGGTCCAGGCATTTTTGGAGGCTTGGCAGTTGATAGAGTAGCTTTTGCCAGAGGTGTTTCCTCAAAAAGTTATTTGTCCCCAAGGTTGCAGACCTGCACTAAGAGGTCAGTTCTTAGGGGAGGGGCATCCATTCAACTCTGGGGCTGATGGCAACGGGTTCCTTGAGGGCTTGGGATGCTGTTCTTTTTTTTGTGTAAGGGATCAATCCAAGGATGCCCCCCAAAGCATCCCCAAACGATGGTTGGACAGCAAACACATATAGAAAGACTTTCTTCAACCAAGCACGACTTCGCACATCCGGCATTGATGGGGTCTTACCACAAAACCAACCGGCGCCAATTGGGAACTCTCACTAAACCGTTTGGACCAAACCGACGCTTCGCCGATGGAGCCGACGTTCCAAAGGACGAATGCACTCAGAGTTCTCCGTCGAGTCCTTGCAGAGGTATGCCCTGGAAGGCCGATCGAGCGAGATGAAGGATCGGGGATGGAAAAGGTTGGAGCCGCGATATGGCTGAGATGACCATAGTTCTCTTGCAAGTGACCACAAAAGTGCCACATAACGGCTTGTTTCATGAAGATTTCCAGCTTTCTTTGGCTGTAGTGAAGCACAACATCACCTTTGCACAGGGGCGACCGATCTGTTTCTTTGGCTCTTCCTTCGGGGGCCGACGAAGATGAGTTTCTGATGTTCTGATGATGAATTTTTGAAGAGCACGGGGCCTTCAGCTGGTTCCACGGTCCCAACTGATTCCACGCCTGCGGCAGGCATGGGCCACGAGACGCTGGGCGAACGAAAGTCAGTTTCTTTTCACAGCCCACATGGAACCCCAATGCAAGATCCTTGATGTCTTTCAAGAGAGCCTGGCAATGGCATCAATGCGGCAAGCCCGGCCTTCACACTCGCCCACGTCCAGTCCTAGAGTTCGTATACACTTTGATACATGTAATACGTCATTCGGCAACTCGGTGAGGCCACCGAATTAGATAAGTCATCGCAAGTAGATACCCTACGAATCCGGGCCCTCAAATACGGTTTGGTTCGGGTCCGGACCCCTGCTATGGCAATCGAGGGTCAGAAACGCCTTACACCCCCGTGGAAGGCCCGTGCCACCGACGCCTCTTTCCGGCCATGGCCTCGTTCCTTACCCTCACTCGCTTACCTCGCTCGAGGTCCGCAGAGAACCGATGCACCGACATCGTGAGCCACCCGATGTTTGAACGCTTTATGATGCTGATCGTGGGATTGAATGTGATCGAGCTTGCGGTCAGTGTGGAGTTCGACTACAATGCATCCAATCCAACGCTCCATTCATGCTTGGCCGCCTGAATTCTTTGCACGGATTTGTGTTTGGTGTCCTTGTTTTCACCTTTTGATATTTTTTTGTATTTTTTGTGGTCCCCAATTGATAGAAACGGTTTCCACTGCATTTGGTGGTGATCTACATTTCTATCTATATTTAGAGGTCTCTACATAAGTGCCATGAGCCCAAATATGTCATAAGGGAGCTGTCCTTCTTCGCTTTGAAGGTACTAGTGGCTTTGGCTTTGTCATCCATTTTGGAAGTGTATTAGAATGACAACAGTCAGGTCATTATCGAAAATATTTTCTGTGGCATCTTTACGGTGGAAATTATCCTCAGATCCTTCACTTATAAGCGATTCCTGCATTTGCTACAAGATGGATGGTTCCTCTTTGCGCCCTGGCATCTGAAAGATTCTGAAAGCATGAAATCGCATGGAAACGAGGAAAGGAACGAGCACCGAACACTGCCATCGATCCCGTTTTCGAGGCTGAGGTGAGTGCCAACGAAAGTTTCAAAGGTTAACGGTTGACCAACGATGATCAAACCGCAAAGGCAGGCCCAGAGCCAACAATCGCCCAATGTGTTTACACCACCCCCCCCCGCGTCGGGTCCCAAGGGTTGTCGACTTGACTGCTTCGTCTCCGTCCTTCGACCGGTCGGGTGCTCCGTCTGGTTCACGGGTCCTCCGACTTGACTGCCGATCTCCGACTTTCTCGAGCCGCTCGTGTCGCTCCGCGGTGGTTTGAAGTTCCTCGACACCCGAGGACTTTTTGCTGGTGTTGTTGATGATTTGGGAGTCCTGGGTGATGCCTTTTCTGACCGCCTCTTGGCCGAGCGAGAGAGACATGGCCCACGAGGACGACTGAAAGGGTGAACGATTTGAGGCTCAATCTGAGGCCTATCAGCTCTATTGCAGAAGAATGGCATCAATATCCATGGTGATTGTTGCTCTATGAAATGGGGATCCTTTACCTCTATGATATGGGGTTTCCGGGGCTCATCTCATAGAGCAGGGCCAGCGGGGCAAACGAGCATGTGACCTGAAGCATCATTTTATAGAAGGAAAGCTGGTGATGTTGAGTAACCAAATTAAACATATAGACGGATGTTGAAATTCAATTTCATAGTGGATCTGAGGTGCCTTGTTAACTTGGTTTATGGATGTTAGAATTCCATTTTATAGTGGACTTGATTGTTATAGGGGTGGTGATTCTTCAGGTGGCAGATGACAGAACCTGATCCGCAACGTCCGTCAAGTGAAAAAGAAGTCCTGTTTGAGCTGAGCAGTTATGTGCACAATGTCATTTCATAGAAACTAAAGAAGATATGTTTGTAGATTGTTGATATACGTGAAATTCCATTTTATAGAAGGAGCGCAGTTGTTGTCAACCTACTGATGTAGATATGTCTTGAGTTGAAATCCCACATTATAGTAGCACCTGGTTTTCCATTATATAGACATTTTTTATGTTTTGATCCTTTGTAACTCATTTCATAGCCACCATTTCTCTATGAAATGCTCTGTAAAGCATCGAACCCATCAATCACCGGGGATGCATCAATTCATATCAATTCACGTGAGATCGTGTGAGCATGTTTGAGCATTTGGTCAGCTGAAACGCCTACATTAATGAGGACAGATTTTTGCATCGTAGCCTTGCTGGCCAGATGCACTCTGATTGAAATCGTTCTACCAGGCTCTTCCAAACAAACAGCCATCCCATCACATGTCAAAGTTCTGCAAACAACCCTGCTTGAACCCCCACATCAATCTTGGAATGCACTATACTTCCCAGCAACTTAAACCAACATGGCATAAAATTGTCATTTTTTGAAGGCCTCAGCCTGGCGTCTCAAGGCATTCCATTGGTTCAAAGATCGATGGCGGCCTTTTTTGGGAAGGAGTCACAAAGGGGTGTTTAGTCCCCAAGTGAGTTACAGTTGATCATGGACACCCTTATCCTCCAAGTTCGGCCCCCATCCTCCATGTGACTCCTGGTTTTTCTCCCCACAGCCCACGCCGCCGAGGCTTCTGGACCGATCCACGCGAGCTTTGAGAGCAGCGGAGCCTGGCGCATGGCACGGATCTTCCGCGTGCTGCGCACCGCGCGCATGGCCCGGCTGGTACGGTTGCTGCCGGAGCCGCCGGTTCGCATTGATGTTCGCAGGGTGGCGGGTGTTTGTTTGTTTGTTTGCCCGCTTTGTTTGCGTCCTTGCTCCTAGTAGTGAGGCCAGGAGCCCCTAGTAGCATCCTTGCTCCTGTTTGTTTGTTTGTTTGTTTGTTTGTTTGTTTGTATGTGTGTGCGTATGGGACCACTCTGACATTCAAGAAGGGCATGGCGTCACGTCGCGCTTCATGGAAAGGCTTTGAGCAAATGAAGGGAACACCTGGCTTCGGTGAACTGAAGACTCGCAGTTTGCTCTCTCAAGGTTGATGATCCTCATCAAAGGGATGCTGGTGGCATGTCGTTCCGTATTTTTCACCTTGCTGTTGCTTGCCTGCAGCTGGCAATCAAGCTGGCTCAACACCATGGGGCTATGGCTGGTCACCACACATAAATGCATTACAGGGCACCCGGCGTTGTTGCGATGCGTTGTAATTAGACTTCCCTATGCCCCACAAATGGAATTGGCCCCTCTCAAGAAAGAGTAGGAGTAGCTATGCCTGCACGAATCTATACGGCTACTGCTACTTAAACGTACTCTGAAAGCAACAGTTTCGTTGGAAAGCCAATCAAAAAGGTGCCGTAACCATCGAACCGTTGTGAGTGCTCAGGCGTATATGGCAATAGTCGTGCCACCTCTACCCATGAGTCAGTTACTGACAACCGGGGCCGCAATGTAGCAATATATGTTTTGGCAATCCAACCCACATCCTCCTGCAAACCGCGTGAGGAACTGTGGTGAAGTGCACAGAGAAGAGGCATCCCCCAAAGAATCTTAGGTCCACGTTAGGTTCGGGGCACCCGCAGGGTCTCACGTTTCCGCGCTTTGGAAAAGTGTCCGGCCAGGCTCCTGCTGATCATCACGTTTGTATTCAGCATCGCTTTTCTGGAACTGGGCCGCGGAACTGATCTGGAGTCGGAATTCTTCCCCTCCATCCTGTGACTTGGAAACACAATGAAACACATCAATCCCAGTGGGGGAGGAAGGAAGACGTTTGAGCTTACCTGGCCATGGTTGTCCTGAGTCCTTTTTGAACAATTCCAGTGAGTCCCCTAGGCCTAGTTAGATTGCCTGGTTCACAGCACGTAACATGGTAGCTGACGAGCTTGGCACCTTCCCACCTTCCTCTTGCAGCGGCAGCACTTCCCTTCTCACACCTTTGGCCTCAGGTCCTCCGTGGTGACTCTGATTTTGCACTGCATCGTGCCGGATCAGGAGGTCTTTTTTCGGATTGTCGCACAAGACAATCCGGGCCTTGGGCTGTTGGTCTTGTTGTTCATCCTCTTAGGCTCTCTCACTGTCATGAGCCTTGGCTGAAAACAGTACAGGCCGTAAACGGCGGCCGTAAGAGGCCTCGGCTCTGGGATTTGGGGTTCGTGCAGGGGATGGAAAAGGAGTTAGACTCAATATGACTCATATCATATCATATCATATTATATATCATAAGATCTCATAGCATAGTTGGAGTTAGTACCGTGTAAATAGTTAGGGTGTATATCGGAATCCTCCATCTGCCCCACATGGCTGGCCGTCGTCAGTAAGACATGCCCGAGTGGCAAATGCAATCATGAATCGCGGCCTGGCAGATTTCTTTGTAGACCGAAACCTTCGGCGACTTTCCTGTGGCCAAGAGCCAAGTCTGGATAGTTTGGGAGAGATAGAGAGGCAACTAGCTAACTAGCTGATGACCTCCACGGTTTGTTCTTGGGTGCCTGTTGGCTCTCATACTTTTCCAACGATTGGGATTGTGCAAGGTAGTGACAAAGCAGCCGTGGAGCTACTCTTCAATCAAGGTCTCATTGCCAAATGGGCAGGTGAAGATGGACGAACTGTCCACTCCACTCTGCTTTACCCACACCGCCCTAGCGGCTCTAATGACTACAGGAGAGATTGAAGGAGAGTACTGATTGGTATCGGACAAGTAGAGGGCGGACTTCAAGGCAAAAAGTAGGGGAGCGGAGAAAGCAAGTATTATACCGAGTGAAGTAGGGAGCACATTAAAAGGATTCAACAGGAAAGAGCTTCATTTGCCAATCCCTTGACCAATGAATTCTTGCCATTCCGGGGCTGGCCTGGACAAGTCCAACCCACAGCCCAATTTGAAAAGGCTTTACCTCCAATGGACATAGAGACCGTCCTCCTTCCCATCACCGCTGAACTTGATGCCTAGGAACATGCTGCTTGGCGTGCTGGTCGAAGCTGCAACTGGGCGGATTTGGGGCATGTGGAGACACCTTGGAGATGCCATATGGAGATGTTTGATTGGTGACACCTGGGATTCGGATGCATACTTTGATGGGAGATGTGCCACACATGTTGGACCGTTCCGCATCCGTTCAGCATCAAGGTGAAGACGGTCTCCACCATTGAGCGGGAGCAAATGGTAGCAGACTTTGCTCGGAGGGTGGAATCTACCGGGCATCGGCGAGCGTTGAAATGGGTCATAAAAATTAAAAGACCAAACAAACCATGCACTGAAACCCGGAGTGTAGTAGTGACAGAAGCTTTGCTTGTAATTAGCTTGGTGGTTCAGACGGGTCACAGCAAAGCTCTATTCTTTGGTGGTTCCGGCTGAGCTGTGGAGATTCTGAGGTGCCATCTCTCCACAGCACACATTTTTGACCAATGCGCCAAGCTGTCTCAAGCTAGGAGAGACGATCTCAACTTCCCTCGTAGCATACCCTCTTTCAAATTATCGGTGAAAATCCACACCGTGGTCATATATCGTGTTTTTTGAAGATGTTGTCCAGGACACAGTGAGGAAGTTGCGCCCTTTGAGCTTTTGCACTTTTGCAGCCTTCACCTTGAAGGCCCTAGATACCCGATTAGGCACGATGAGCAATCTGCTACCAGCAGGTGCTTTGGCAGCTGATCCAAAGCGACAAAGAGGATCCTGATGCGACCTGACACGTGATGGGGAGTGCGAGGATGCACGTGTTTGAACATGATGTCTGGGGTGGTTTGGCTTGTGGCACGACTCGCAAGAAGGAACACAAAGGATGCAGCTAGTAACTATGCCCTTGTTACTAGTAGCTTCTTGCTACTAGTGGTAATGTCCTTGCTACTAGTAGCGATGCTCTTGTTAGTATTTGCTAAGGATGTAGTGATGTGATTCGATCTTATGAGCTTGGCCAAGTTGCCACTCTTGGGTGATGTGTGGGTGCCAGAGTGGCGGCCGGCTCACTTGGGAGCGGCCAGAAAAGTAAAAATGGATTGCACTCCATATCAATTTATGGTTTCGTGACTGCGCCTTCATACTTTCATTACCTTCCCTTAGCTTGCTAGGCCCTTTTTATTCATACATGACCTATCAAGCGCGCAGCTTGCTTTGCCAGTTGCGGGGTCACCGTTGGTCCGTTTGGCGGCCCCTACTTGCAAGTCCCGTTTGGTCGGTGAGGAAGATGACTACTGCGATCGAATGATCTCGGAGAAGGAGTTCAAGTCATTGTTGCGGAAACCGATGCTTAGGCCTTTCTAAGGGCCAGCATTGGCATGCGGAACGGACCGGGTGTTTCATGGCCGGTTTCGAAGGCAGACAGTATGGACCACATGTGCGGTACAAGTATCACGGTCGTTGAACACAAGCAGGAAGGGTGCTTTTCAGGGGGAAAACCAGGGATCGACAAAGCGTGGCCCGGCTTTCTGTGAAAAACCCACAAATGGATTGAGTGAATCGATGCAAGGCCCACGATCCAGCGCAAGGTTCCAGGTTTTGGGTTCCTTTTTCCATCCGCATGCTTGGCGGACGTTGCGGAAACACTCGAGGAAAGCGGTCAAAGCCTTGGCAAAGCTTGGGGTTGATGCATCCAGCGCAGTGGACTATGGCAAGATGCTGTTTGAGGATGATGGATCCGTGCTGTGACTGTGCAGTGGGTGACATGTGAAGGGAAGGATGGGGAGGGTGAACCTTGATGTGGGTCCCATTCATGTCCCATTATGCCTTGCCTTCCATTTGGACAAAAAAAGCTGTGCTTGGACTATTTGTAACAGCTGCCCTCAGATTCGATAGTCAACCGCAAATCAATTTGTAGCATTGTTGCTGCGAAGTTGTTACATGTTATGTAACACACTGGGACCCCACACTGGGCCAAGCTTCTACTGTTGGAGGTAATTTTCTCTTTTTGACCACCGCTGGACACCGCACCACACGGTTTTTTCGTACACGACTGGCGCCACAAATCAGGTGTCGTTCATGGACTTCATGCGAGCGATGTTGGCCTTGCGCGGCTCCAATAAGACCACGGTCAAAGACATGGTCGAGCTGCGGAAGTATGTGGGCGAGGAGTCCGGAGTCCCAGGACCGTCCGCGAAGGTGGGTGGTAGCGACCGTGTGGAGCACGGAAACACGGAGAAAAGGTGTGGAAAAAGATGGAAAAACCTGATCGTGAGTAGAAACCTGATCGTCCTGAGTAGAAACCGATTCTCTGGATTGTAGTAGGACAGTGGGTAGAAACCTGATCGTCCTTGGGCCATATAAGCCCAGTGGCAGCTCGGGGCCGTGCTGGTCGGAAACGGCTCCAGATGTACAATGTACAATGGACGGTGACAGTAGCGTTTCTTGGTGGGAGAAATGCACCATCATTTGTAGACATTGTAGACGCTGCGTCAGGAAGTTATATAAGAACTCATTGCGTGACTGAGGTTGCTGGTCCAAGAGAATCTCTCCTTGATTTGGGACGCTGATACAGTAGCCTTTGGTTTCTGAAAACGCCTGACGCATCACGAGGCATCATGAGGCATGAATCAACCAGGCACCCTTTGCTAGCGCAAACAAGCCCCCTTGTCCTCCGGTCTGGGCGAGGTTTGCCGATATGCGGCGCTTGTTTAGCGAGTTATGTAGCAGCTTGGCACCGCGGGACATTTGCACCACGTCGTCGCTGAAAACGCGCCCGGACCGCCTCCATTTGGTAACACAAACTGGTGGTCCCCGGGTTGCTGGACAGTCAGACACATAAAAAACAAAACTCCCTAAAACCATTTCCAAATGCCCTGCCACCTCCGAAAAGATGCCTGTTTTAGGGCCCTGGTTTTTACAAGTCTGTTTGGGATTCAAAAGAAATGGTTTCGAGCAAAGGAGAACCGGAATTCCCACACAACAACCAAACCAGGACCGCAAAAAATCGTTTTGGCATGTTTTGGCGGTCCAGGGAGCTCCTTAATTGCCACGGGTCCCTGGGAACGGAGTTAACACCGAGTCACGTGGAAAGCTTTCATGTCAAACTCTAACTGTTGTATTTTGTATTTATATGATCTTCGCTTCTAAAACTTCCATCACAAAAAGACATGGATTCTAAAGGGGCACATTTTAACAGTTTATATAACTTAGCAATAGAGCTTCTTTTGCTGTTGGGGATGCTTGGACTGCCTGCAAGCCCTGTACAAGCCCAAAACCTAGGGGCCTTTTAAGGAGACCTCACAGTTGGAATTCGCGAGAAGGAGGTTCTGGAGAACAGTGTTTTTACTATTTTGGGGTACCTTTGAAGCATGTTGAAACTGGAAGCGTCTTGGGCGCTCGAGGTTTTATTCAGAACACCATGGGCGCGATGGGAGTGGAAATCGAAGAGACCTATTGCATCTCTCATCGCCAGAGCATAGGACCTAAGAGTCCACCAACAAGTCCAGCACTACCAAGTAGTGCGTACACCAATAAGCCTGCATCCAAAGCTTCCGGCAGTTGTGCATGAATCCACATCCATGGTGGCTAAGACGATACTGCCGCATGTTGCCGTATGACGCACACTTGCCGCTCCATATGTTCTCGTTGCTTGCAGAATGGGCAAGCAGAAGATTTCGCTGGGCAAGCGGGAGGCGCAATCACCGCTATTTGCATCCTCCCAGCCTTCGGTAAGTCGTTTCGGTAAGTCGTTGGACGGTTTCATGCGGAGAGCAATGCGGCGCATTGTGGGAGATCCATTGGGGAACAAACCAGATCATAATCCTCAGATCGCTTGAAATGCGTCAGTTGATGTCAGTTGTTGCATCCAGATGGTTTTCCCCAGAGGTCTGGATAAAAGTTTTTAAATGGTGGCTCCGTCTTTTCGACCACTCAGGAGTCAGGAATGCTGACCCACAGCTCTGCCCGGAGTCAGCCTGACTTTGCTTGTTTCGCCCATTTGCCTTGAAGAAAGGCAGAAGTAACTATCTAGGATCAGGAAAACACAGCACAGAGCATGGCACCCAGTTTTGCTGGGGATGAAAATTTGCCCATAGAGTTTGTTTGCCTGTTGCAGCATCCAGAAGCAGAACATCCACAAGGAACAGGAGAAGAAACAGAAGAAGGAGAAACAACGTAAGGAGGAGAAGAAGAAAAAGAAGAAGAATAACAACAATAAATACAAGACACATAATAAGAAGAAACAGAACAAGAGTAGCAACAGCAGCGAGCTGCAACGATAACAAGGACGACAGCAGCAACTGCAACAACACCAGGCACACCTGCTCATCACGAAAGCTAGCCTTAGCTAGCTGGAGTTGCTCTTGCTTTAGCAAGTTAAGTGACGGGGTGGACGCACCTCAGAAACCTCAAATAATTGATTAAATCAATCTTATGGACCCGCCCCCCCCCCCCCCCGCGGTTCGACTCCCCCCTGCGCGCGGTGAGCGGGACCACCAAGCAGCTGCAGCACACCAAGCATCTGCAGTCTACAACCAAGCAGCTGCAGCAAACCACAAAGGAGCAGCAGCAGCAGAAGCAGCAGACCCAGAGCAGCAGCAGCAGCAGCAGACCACCCAGCGCCAGCGCCAGCAGCAGACGACCCGGCGCCAGCAGAGCACCCAGCGCAGCAGCGCCCAGCGCAGCAGCGCCCAGCGCAGCAGCGGCAGCAGCACCAGCAGCAGCAGCAGCAGCAGACCACCCAGCGGCAGCAGCAGCAGCAGGAGCAGCAGCAGCAGCATACCAACCAGCGCCGCAGCAGCAGCAGCAGAGCACCCACCGCCGCAGCAGCAGCAGCAGACGACCCGGCGCCAGCAGAGCACCCAGCGCAGCAGCGCCCATCCCTGACGACCAGACTCTCGTTCACCCCCTAGCTAGCTTTCGTTCACCCCCTCTGGCCTCAAGTTGGGCAACCACCAGAACGCAAACTACAGCCAAACAACAGCCGACGAAGCAACAGTGGCAAAACAACAATAACAACAACCACAGTGACGGCAACCGCAACAACCATGCAACAGCCAGGAAGACGACAACAACAGCTTTGGAAGCAGCGACAACGAACAACCCGTATAAAATCATACAATCACCGACAACATTTCTGTATTTAGAACCTTCGGGCATGTGTGACATGACTCGTCAAAATGCCCCCCCGTATGTTGATTGTATAATGTGTATATATATATATTTGTAAGGTCTTATGCTGCAATGCTGGGGTGCAGCTGCAGCATCCATTCACGCACATCGTTCGGACTTGTGTGGCATTTCGGCGAAATGAGCTTTCGATCTTCCAGTGCGTTCATCCAATTCGAAAGCGCCACGTGGCTGGTGGGTGAGCAACTCCCACCCTGCTAGTCAAGTGGCACATGTGACGTGGTCAACCAGCCTGTGAGTTGAGGCTGAGATACGCTGCCCTGCTGTCTTCGTGAGGAAAGTAGGACCTCCCGTGGAGTTGAGCAGTGCGACCATGAGCGACCCGGCCCAGACTTGGTAGTGGCGACCAGACCAGAGAACTGTTTGGGCTGCCATTGATCTTTTAATGAGTCAGGGAGGCATCTCATTGCCTTGAGGCTCGCTTGGCGGGGCTCGAAGAGTCGGTCATTTTCTGGTCAAACTGTTTGACACCCGCGCTGAGCACGTTTGCAGGTGGAAGTTCCGAAGCGAAGTTCGACACGTTTGCAGATGTTTTCAGCTTCACCACAGAGCTGGGTGACGAAATGGGTTGGCCTATATTCTTCCAGGACGTTAGAGTAGGAAAAAAATATACTATACACCTATGAGAGAGTTTGCCTACGTTTGCCTCACTTAGGTTGGAGAGGTGACAAACCCAAAGCTTGTTTGGACAGTGGACCTCGATCAACTCTGGACGAGCCTTGTTGGTGCTCTTCTCTAACGATGTCAAGCAAGCGAAGACACCCACCTACAGCGGAGAAATATGAATCAACCTCTGATGCGGGTTTGTCCCATTGCCCGTAACAGCCGGCCAACGACGATCATACGTTTTGGACAAGGCCTTTACTAACTACTATCATCCACTGTTTCTGGTCATGGGATATACACAACTATATATATCTATCAGGTGTTTGCCACTGGGCTTGAGGGATTCTGCAGGCCTCGCAGGAAACTGTTTCTCAAACGTCCGATTTGCAACTCAACCCTCCACAACTGGTTGACTCTACTAGTTGGAGGCCATTGCTAGCAGGTTGGGGGCCATCGCTAGTAGCTTGGAGGCCATCACTAGTAGCTTGGAGGCCATGGCTGCTAGGTTTATCTATAGATTGGTATGAATTGCCATTTGCTTACATCACCTTGGGACCGCTTGCAGCCGCAGCTCCTGCGCGCACGAAATTGGTCGAGACTTGCGCCAACGGTCGACTGACTGCAAAGACCCTCTTGAGAATTACAGTAACTTTCCTGGACTTAGTCACTCATTGCATCTCATTGCCAACCTACTTGGGGGTCGGACAGCAGCGCCATCTGGCGCCGGCTCGGAGGTTTTCACAGTGAGCCGCTCACTCCAAGCAGCAAAGTCATTTATTCAAAATGAGCCCCGAAGACAAAGTCAAAGTAATAGGAATACGTTGGGGGTGTCCGTTCTTATTTGTAACAGTCGTTCTATTTTTGAACAAGGCCTTTACAAAACCATCATCCATTGTTGCAGGGAATGGGGTAGACCCAAGTAATACGAGCACTACTTGGCAGAGCAGGGTTTGAGGCTTTGAAAGGCTTGGATTGACCTCCAGTTGGCGTTCTGTTCAACGTTCTGGAGATGTGCTTTCCGCATCTCCCGTGGAAAAGTTGAGCTTCAGAGTCCTTCGTTCTCTTTGCCAGGTCTTAGTCATAGTGTCGGGGCTAAATCCCAGCTCAGGCCGGTGAGCGACGGACTATCTCCATTGTTCTGCAGTGTCGGCATTTGCAACTCCAGGCTCAGACCCGAAGTCTGAGGCCCTTGCTTGCGATTGACTGCACTGTTCGGCTGGTTGATAGCAATTCCGCATTGATCTTTGTTCACCCCTTTGACAACGTAGCCTTCACCTGATTGCTACCAGGATGAAATTCTGAGCCAACTGGGAGAAGGTCGAACTCCCCAATTCCCCCCCGAATTACCACCAGGTCCATTTGATCCGTTTTTCACCTTGAAAAGGCCCACCTTTTGACCAGGAACCGAAACGCCCAGGACCAGCCGCGCCTTGCGACTGGTGGAGGAGCATTCACCCAAGGATGCCCTTGCAGCTGTGGCCTTGGCGAGGAAATGCCGACAGAGAACGTTGAGCGGTCAGGTTTTTACAGTGGTGCCACTGGTGGAAGAGGTGGACGGTGAGAGGAGGTTGCCCCAAGGGAGCCAAGGCCGAGTGGCGGGTGCCCGCCCGCAAGACCACGAATCACAGCAACGAGCACGTGTATCAGCCCTCTGATTTGGACAACGGCACCTAGGAAACCGTGCCACTATCTATGTCTAACAACTAATAACAACTACTGCGAAAAAGGTAGCAGCGGCACCCGAAGTCCGCAAACACGAAAACAAGAGGGCGCACTGAAGCGCCGCGGCCGCGCCTTTTGCAAGGCAACTGCCCTCCCAGTCTTGAGAGGGAACGACGGTAAGTGAAGGTCGAAAACAGTTCGAACTGCCGAAACACAAGTGCACAGCGTGAACTTTACATGGGGGAGAGTCCTTCGTCATCACCCCAGTTCCGCTGTTCGAACCGGTCCAGCCATTGGTAGACCAAGGTCCGCACAGATGAGCCTGACCGATCATCGACAAGGTCAGGTGGAATCACCCTCAAACTACAAAGGCGGCAGAAATCTACTCGCCGCTGCAGGTTTTCATCTCTTCCGGCCAGGCTTGAACAGTTCAAGGTCGTGTGCCATCTGGCGCCATGCCGGCTGATGATCATGCCATTGTAGAAGGGGCATTCATTTCCATGCTCATCCATCTGCCTCAGGGCGATCTTCAGGATCTGGGAGGCTTCCTGTGCAAGGGTCTCAGCAGCATTCTGGTTTCTCAGAACCAGATTCATCGCTGTCGTGGCTTCGACAGCAGCAAGGCGGGACTCCTCGGCTTTGGAACTCCAGCGCAGGACTTCCTGCTTCAGGCTTTTGACTTCTTCTCTAAGGCGAGCTGGGATGATCGCTTCATCCTTTTGGACTGCAGCCTCAGTGACCTGGGGTGGTACTCGGTGGTGTGCATCATGGCTCCATCGACCAACCATGAAGGCTGTGCTCAAAAAAAGTAGAAGGAGGGTGCACAAAACAGTTCCAAACCAATCCATTCCAGCTTCAGGTTCCACATTGGCCGAATCGGCCGTGACCAGCTGCGGGGCCATGAACAAAAGCAAAAACCAAAACATGAAATTCGTCTTACGACCGCGGTAGGACTCGAGCGGGCGGCTTCCGACATGGCTCGGACTGTCGGAGACATACTCAAGCTTCCGGTCGGTCCTGGCAAACATGACATTCACAGGAACCTTGGAATTCCGAAAAATCTCTTCATTCCAAAACACCTGCTCATCGACATTCACGTCATTCTCCGCAGGATTCTCGTCGATGGGCTGCTGGTGCTCCTCGTGGAGGTTGGGTTCCTCATTGATCACATGTGGTGGTACCACATGGATGCTTTCGGGTTCCTCATTGATCACATGTGGTGGTACCACATGGATGCTTTCAGGTTCCTCATTGATCACATGTGGTGGTACCACATGGATGCTTTCCGCAAGACTCTGTTGGAGCTCAGCTTTTGTCTTCTTCTTGGCAGCTTTGTATGAGGGGTCCCAAACAAGCTTCAAACGACCGTGACGTAGCCGTTGTGCAAGAAGTGCTCTGGCCGACTCTTTTGTCAAACCGTCAGCCAGTTGGCGCTCCGATGACATCCACCTCAAAGAACCGCCCAGTGAAGACAGGCGATCCTTCATCACACGGATCTCAAGCGAAACTCGCTTGTCAACCACAGAGCTTCCGACTCCTTCTCGGTGATAGGAGTCGTAAAGAGCTTTGGCGTCCGTGATCATGGTGGGCGACAACAAGGATGGAGCGTCCAAGAGCTCTTGGAGTCGCTGGCGAGGGTCAACCAACAAGCTCCAGTAGATGCTGGCATGCTCCAAGGCATCGCAAGCTTGACCGCCGCTTTGTGCTTCGGCGCCCAAGGAAGAGCGTGCAACTCTTGGCGTTTTCAAACTGCGCCAATCTAACACGTGGTAGGCTCCTTCGGGACCATTGGCCTGAAGCAAAGCTTTGTTGACCATCAGGATCACATAGCCAGCTTGTGAGGCTCCGTCACTGCGGGTGGCAAAGGCAGCATCAAAAAACATACCAAGCAAAGTTCTGAAACTTCGCCCAGGTGGCTGTACTGTAGGCCAACATCAGCATTTTCTTTTGCAAAACGCAGCAGGCGATTTGTGTCGGCCACTGTCTGAAGCGTGGCCTTGGTGACATGACCGCTCAGGATCGAGGTGCTGCTCTGCAAGTGAGGACTGCTTTGAACTGCGGGCCATTGAAGTGAACCAAGAAGTCCTCTCAGCTGTGTCAACTCACGCTGATTGAGCGCATCGGTGAGGCTGCGCTTCTTGTCGTAGGTGATCGGTTTCACCTTTCCCATGTAGCTGGTCTGGTTGAGGAGGAGACCATCATCCTTGACTTGAATGTCACAACCACAATAGGTCAAAGGCTTTCCATCATCACCAGTTTTCCATTCACGGAAGTTGAAGGTGCTCTTCAGCTTGGTGATGGTGTCGTTGTAGCACTGGGAGGATGGCGAACCGCAACCAAGCATGTCATCGACGTGCATGATGACCATACCACATAGGCCATGAGGTCCAAGCAGGTTGGAGTGCTCAGCTGTGGTGTCATACTCAGGGTTGAGGTCACCTTCATAGATCAAGAAGCAGCAAGGGTCTTGAGGATGCTGTCGGAGGCCCATAGCGCTCAGCTTCTCAACTGCAGCCATGAACCAAGATCTCGGGGCATCGATCTGGCCGTAGCAGGGCTTGAGAAGCAACATACGGGTGTCAGCTGTAGCTCCAAGCAACTGCAAACACTCTTGAGGAAGCTGCACCCACAACTTGCGTGTCTGAGGTCGACCCTGCAGGAAGGCGGTTGCTATGTCTGAAGTCCAGATTGGCCACTGCATGGTGGAGGCCAAACTCAACAACATGGATCTCGACAGCCTCGTGGTTGTGGGCGATGAGGTTGGAACAGTTCCTTCCCAAGCGTCTGGGTCCATGAAGCCTCTGACAATGAGCCTGGCTTTGGCACGGGGGGCTGCCATCAGGATTCTTTGACCACTTCAGCAGCATGCGACTGGTCAGCGTCCGACTGGGCTCAGCTTCTCTGGTGGTCTCGAACTGCCAGACGTGGTTGTCAAAGAAGGATTGCAACTCTTTGACCTTTGCAGCTTTGAAGGCTGCTCGCTCATCAGGAGTCATGTGGCGCTCCGAGAGGTTGTTCTTGTTCTTGTCTTTCTTGAAGCTTTTGGCGTGCCGGAGTTTGGTCTCCTTGCCAAGCTGTCGTGCTCCTTGAAGTGGGGCCTTAGCGAACATGGCCATCTCTCGACGAAGGTCGCCTTTGATCTGGAAGATCGTGACTCCAGTCCATGAGCGATCCAAGGGAGTGGAAGCCGTGTAGCCATCGTCGGTCTGTTGGATGCTTTTGCCGTTGTTGTCATACATAATGGTCACCCGAACCAGATCAAGCTGATCTGAGGTGAAGGGGCTGTCTTGTGGCAATTGGTGTAGGCACATCTTGGATCGTCGAGGGATCACATGGTGTCTGATCAAACATCCGGCTTTGACTTCCCAGAAGTCGCGGTCTCTCTTGTCGAGCTGGAAGTAGCCATTCTCATAGGTCCAACCTTTTGGCAGGCAGTTGGCTTCAATGCCGGAGACTTGGAAGGCATGATTCAGCAAGGCGTGATCAGGTGCCTTCTGACTTGCATAGAGAGCAGGATCATCCGAAGCAGCTGGAGCTGCCGATACTTGGGCTGGCGCTCCTGCGGCTGCCGCTGTTGCTTGTGTGTTGTGCTCTGCACTGTTGTGTTCTGCTTCTGGTGTTGTTGTTTGTGACGTCGTGTTGTATGGCTGTGGTGACCCAATGCGCTGTCTTCGCAGGGGGCCAAAACTAAGTGTCTCCTGTCTGTTGAAGCGAACTCGTCGTTGTTGAAAGGTTTCAGCATCGACTGGTTCATACAATGCTGCAGTGTCAGGGTCCAGTGAAGGCCCTGACATTGATGCTTGAGGTGCTGTTGCAATAGCCGGTGGTGATGCAGCATGTGGTGTGGGTGCTGCAGATGGTATGGTTGGCTCTTCGCTGGGTTCGACCACAGTAGGGGCCCGTGAGCGGGACCTAGTGGTGGCTGGTGAACCTGGTACAGTGATCTCGGCTGGGGCCATGGGCAGCAACATGTTTGGTTCTGCCATCACTGGTGTTGGTGGTGCTCTGGGAGACGTCGGTGCAAAGCTGGAATGAGCAGGTGAGGTAGGCTCATATTCATCATCGGGCACGATGATCTGTGGTGGTGCTTCTGCAGTCGGCACGGGTGGCTCCAGGCGAAAGCGATGCCTGGGAGGCTCATCATCATCTTCTTCCAGCAGAGGACCATCAGGGTCAGTGTGTTGTTCATCTTCCTCGACATCATCCAGCTGTTGGCGGTTCACCCGTCTCAAGTCGTAGAATCTAGTGACTCCACGGGATTTCAGCTGTCTCACTTTGTTGAGGGCTGATTGCAGGTCTTCGAGCACGTGCTGAGGTCCGAGGATGTCTGCACGGACATGGTGAGGCGCAGCACGAATCAACTGTGTTTTATAGGCGAGCCAGTAGGTCTTGACCTTTGGAGCTGCAGTATCAGCTTCAGCATCTTCTTCACGAAGAACCACGTGGGCAGGACCAAGCCATCTGATCTTGTTCAGGGCTCCTTGGCGAGCATCACGCCAAAACCATACTCTTTCTCCCAACTGGAAAACTCGATTCTGGCCCTGGTACTTGCGACTGAGAGCTCGTCGCAGCTTGGAGTCAGCATCAGCAGATGCCAGTGCCATCTTTGCAGCAGTTCGCCGCTCAAGGTTCTCCTCAAATGAGCTGTTGTTGCCAGCAAGTTGAGCTGCATTGAGGTTGGAGTCCATGAGGTGGGACAGCTCAGGTTGGAAGCCAAGAACCCATTGACTGGGCGAGAAGCCAGCAACTGCAGGTGTGGCGTTCTGCTGTGGGATCACATAGCAAAGTGCTTCCTTGATGCCAGCAGCGTCGTTGAGCTTGCGGTCATCCATGTAGACCTCACAGGCACGGCGCAGCACTGCATGACGGCGCTCAACCAACGAAAGGCGCTCATGAGCTTCTCCTGGTGCTACTTGATGGTCAATGCCAAGTGAGCTTGTCCAAGATTCAAACGGTGCACCAAGCCAAGGTCGGCCTTCATCGGAGATCAGCTTCTTGGGAGGGCCAAAATGGCGAACCCACATCTTTTCCAGAGCGGTGATGTAGGACTTGGAGGTCTCCTCATGAAGCAGGTAGGCTGCCATGAACTTGGTGCCAACATCAACTATGCTCAGCACTGCAAACTTGCGGTCTGCTGGCTTGAGGTAGAAAACGTCAGCCTGAATCACTTCGTTGAAGGTCTTGGGCTGTGGCATGGATGATGGAGCAACCTGGTTGGGCTTCTTGTGCTTCAGACATGCCACACACTTGTACTCCTTGGCAGCGGCGATCACAGTGGGATGAGCTCCTCTGGCGGTCAACAGATCAGCCAGAGCATCAGGTGCCGGATGGCCAAGGTTTCGGTGTAGCCGTTGCACCGTTCGAAGAGCATCTTGTCGGTGTTCAGACTTGAGCTTGAGGAGGTGTCCGGTCTCTTTCTTGCCAGTTTCATCGACCACATAGGCGGTGTCCCACAGTTGAGCGGTCTCAGGACGAGCCAAGGCAGCAGCCAGTGTCGCTGCAAAGCCAGGTTGGTAGTCTTCCAAGTAGGTGGTCCGGCGGCCATAGCCAGGAGCAGAACCTTCCAAGGGGCAGTGGTAGTGGTCATGGTCACACTTCAGCTGGAAGGCCTCTAAGACAGCCTGCTTTGTGGTCAACAGGCGAGTGCTCTTTTGGACAGGTCGCCAGATGCCGTCGGTGTCCATGCACATTGCTCCATAGCGGCATTGGTCGAAGTCGGCATAGTAACCAGGAAGATCTCGGAGAGCCATCGTGTTCCAGCTCAAGGCATGTCGGGGCTGCTCCAAGTGGGCATGCCGTGCATTGGTCACCTGTCGTAGGTAGATGCGCTTGGCAAAGCAGAGATGGCGACGATGGTGGTGCTCACGTCGAGCCTTCAAGGCTTCTTGCTGTGCAGGGGTGCGACAAGCCAAGGTTTGCATTCTTGACCACAGGCGGCATTCTGGTGCCACCAGCACTTCATCAGGTTCTTCTTCATCAAGTCGTTGGAGTAGCTGGTGTTGATGGCTGATGAGGTTGAAGTCCCAGCCATTGTCCAAAGAAAATCTTTCCACCTTCATGCCAAGCTCCTCTGCGATGTGGCCAGTGCGAGCTTTGCCACAATAGATTTCCCAGAGAACTCGTCGATGGTCGGGAGGATTGTGAAGCTCCTGAGTGATATAGGCTTCGGTGGAGTTTGAGGTAGTGACCAACTGAGTCTCCATGGTTCGAAGGGCATGTCGATGAAGGCGAGTGGATTGCAATTCGCCACCTGCCAGAGCCACATCTTCAGCCTGAAACACATGTTCGAGCTTGTTAAAGTCCTCGAAGTGGAGATGGCTGCCAGGTGTTTCCTCAACAATGCGAAGGCTGAATAGGGTTTTCGTGGGATCAGGTACTTCCTCCATGCCAGTGGTGAGGCTCAACAAGTACTCGCCATGGCGGCCCACAAGCACTGAGGTCCAAGGCGATTGCCCAAAGCGAATGCGCTTCTGGCTGAAGTCGATGCCCATGTGCAGAGCCTCAATCACAGGTCGGCCCATCAACATTGGCGTGTTGCCAGGAACCAGGTAGCATTGGATCGCGCCGAACTGGCCATCGATCATCACCGGGAGATCCACTGTCCATGAAGCTCGTGAGGATGCATCGCCACCAAAATGGAACTGGCGGTCACATCGAGCAAAGCGGATGGTGTTGATGGGGTAGTTCATGGAGTGCAAGTGGCTCAAATAGCGGCCGAATGGACCATATCCGCACAGGAAGGCAGATGCACCTGGGTCAAGCATGGTGGCATCCGGTCGGTCGGTGCCCATCTCATCCTGGAACAGGACCAAGGCGGTCTCATTCTGCAAGGCCATACCCTCAGTGGGTGCAGGTCTCTTGTTGGACGATGAGGGTGATTTCGCACCTTGTGGACATTGCGCTGCCCAATGACCTGGTTGGCCACAACGAAGGCATGTAGTTGCCTTTGCACGACCTTTTGGATCAGCCTTTCCACCTGAGGAGGGTGGATAGCGCACCACATTCTTTCCTTTTCCTTTGCTTTTGCTCTTGCCCTTTCCTTTGTTCTTGCCGGCGCCCTTCGAAGGTGAAGAGGATCCAGAGGCGGGCGAAGCGTTCTGGCCATCAGTGAGGGCGACGATCGGCAGGTAGCCACGAGCCAACTTGAGCTGCTGGAATCTTTGCCGGGCATCCAAGTAGGTGGCATAGGCGTGGTCATACTCTTCGGCCAACTCTTGAGGATCTTCGGACAGGTCATGGTGTTCTCCAGGTTCATCCTCTTCGCCGTAGTAGATGGCGTCATAGTCAAAGTCAGCCTCATCGTCAGGGGCAGTGTCATCATACCAGTCGTCGGCCTCATAGTAGGCGTCTTCTGTCCAGGGTTGCTCGGACCAGTAGGCATCTTCTTCATCGAATGCGGCGTAGCCGCGGCCCTTCCAGCGGTTGAACTTTCGATCACGTTCAGCATTCCAGCCGCCTGCTTTGTAGTCCTGACCGAACAGCAGGTACAGGGCTTCGATGACAGGATTCTTTTCCAACGTAGGAGCCTTCAGCGTCACCATTTGGCGTTGCTCCTTTGACAAAGCAGCACGTCGGAGTAGATGCCATCCTTGAACCTGGACTGGAAGAGTCACATTGTGGGCAGTCAAACGACGATAGGCGGTGTCATGGTCGGTGACGAAGGACAGGAGGCTTTGCTGTGGCTTCCTTTGCAACAAGTTGAAGTACTCCTCAAAGTCATTCGGAAGGAGCACACGATCGTCATACTCGAAGTTCTTGTCGAGCTTGGTGATGATCTTGCTGAAGCCATCCTCTTTCTCAGCCTCTTCAATTGAGAAGTCCTCGAACAACCGCCACGTCACACCCTGAAAACTTCCCAGGATGTTCAGGACGGACTCGGCTGAGCGCTTGCTGATCTTCATCTTGTGGTGGTAGAGCATCAGCCTCTTTCTGTACTCTTTGTAGTCCTGGGGTTGTCCACTGAACAGTGGAACGAAGGAGTCGCGCAGGTTGAGGTAGTCACCATCCTTGGAACCTTCTGCAGCCGATGTCGTTGGTGGCATTCTCAAACAAGTAGCCAAGACCGAAAGGGCTCTTCAACGAGGAAACAAAAGAGCTCGGCCAAGGGTTCGTGACAAAGGACTTATGCAGAACCTCGTTCTTCTTCGCGCAAAGGACTCGGAGCCCCCCGGAGGAGGCTCCGCTACCAATGCGAAAAAGGTAGCAGCGGCGCCCGAAGTCCGCAAACACGAAAACAAGAGGGCGCACTGAAGCGCCGCGGCCGCGCCTTTTGCAAGGCAACTGCCCTCCCAGTCTTGAGAGGGAACGACGGTAAGTGAAGGTCGAAAACAGTTCGAACTGCCGAAACACAAGTGCACAGCGTGAACTTTACAACTACTATTTTTTGACTCAAAAATGCTCTGGCACATGGGAGGCTCTCCACTTCCCCCTCAGTCCTCGGACCGCAAGGCCCGAGCTCTCGTCAGGAGCGCGCTGGACTTTCACGCTCCCGTCGCCCGATCGCTGGGCTACGATCTTCCGGTGGATCCCAATGCCGCGGCGTGGCGGCGATCGTTTCGGGGGGGGGGGTCGATGTAAAAATCCGTTAGAATAGACTAGTTGGCATGAATTTGGATAGCAGAGATGCTCAGAGGTCAAGGGAGATCTACCTGTTTTTTCTTGTTCCAGGGTGGTGTTATTGATCTTTATGGGTGTTCTGAATGCCTTGTGTTAAATTGTGTTGTGTCAGCGTGTTTTTGGTGATGCCCTGCACAACATAAGTGTGAGAGGGGGAGATAGGGCGAGTCCACAAAGGAGCCTGAAGGACATTGATATGTGTTCTTTTGTTAAATATACCTGTATTTTAATGTCTTTATGTCTACTTATTGGCATGCAAACGAACTTTGCACAGAGAACATTTGTCTATAGCCTATATATGTCTATAGTATGTCTATATAGTCCACGATACATGATGCTTTGGAAGGGATATGCTGCGCAGCCAATGGCAACTAAAATTCTTGACTGCCTCAGGTGGGCTTACTCCCAATCCCTCATTGCGAAACACTGCCTGCAACACTGGAGCATTTTGGGCTACTGCTCAGGAGCCTCGGAGAAACAAAGATGTGTCCATGGGCAAAGATGCTGCCAAAGAAGCAAGCTTTGGGTCACTTCCACATTTAAGCAATGCATCCACGTCAGAGCTTTATGGCGCTAATTTGCTAATCAGCTAATCGGGGTACCACGAAATCCGCAAATCAATCAGCTGCCAGTTGGCTGCCAGTTGGATTCAAAACTCGTCGGCAGCTTTGGTGGTGAGCCAAACCGAGGTACCCCTCAGAGTATCGTTTGGTGCTGGATTGGTTTGACCGACAGCGGCTTGGCCCAGAGTATCGGCGGCCATGTTTGGGGTATGACCTGCAGCACAGTGAGTAGGCTTTGCTCACTGCTTTGCTCACGTTTTGGATAGCCAGGGCTTTTTTGAGCTGGCCCAAGAAATCGATAAAACTGTATCATTCGATCTTTGCAACATGTGTATGCATTGCACGGTGTGTTTGGTTCATTTGCTTTCCATGCTGTGTATATTTTCTTGTGTTGGGAGCCACTATGGGTTATACATGGTACCAATCATAAGACCGATTCCGGAATCGGCCTTGGGTAGCCTGGCCTTGAGGAACTCTTGATCTCCCGCAGCATATATCAGATATGATCCCAGACGCGACCCATGGGACTGCCATATATGCGGATCAGTTGGGGTGGTGCCAGGGGGGTCAATGTAGGCATATATTCCATACATGGAGTGTATGGGGATTATATAAAGATTGTAAAGGTAAGACGGGCCACATTTCAGGTAGAGGGTGCTGGCACAAAAACCATCGCACGTGCGTACACGTGTGTAAAAACGCGAGGTCGAGCGCGCATGAGGTTGTGGTACTTCCAATACCCCGATTGCAGTTGTTGGTGTTCCATCCATGAAGCAACAATCACGCTCAACACCAATGCAGGATCAACATGACGCTCTCCAAGAATGGCCACAAGCAGCTTTTTCAACCCAAAGGGTGAGATCGCACTGGATCCACGGACCCCTCCGCGGACCCCTCAGCTCTCCCAGGTTTGGCTTTCTGGATCGAATCTTGACGCATGGCATCCGAGCCTCTCGGCACACGTCGCTGCTGAAAGCTGAACACCCAGATGTCCAAAGAATCGTGACCATGGGAAGATCTGAGGAAAGATCCAAAACCTGTCCTGCACGGAAACATGTCTTGCCTGTTAGTTTTTGTATACAGTTAGTATGCATGTAGCCCTCAACATAGCCCCATCAATTGGCTCAACCAGAGCTTCCCAGACATCGCATCGCTCAACCTGGAGTGGTGGGGGTGGGGCCTGGTGAAATCCATCCACATCACATCACTTGGCAACCACATCAGTGACTTCTCCAGGGCTCCGAGTCCAGGGTGCGGGGAACACCGTCACGGGTAGCTACAGCCTACAGCGAACATCAAATCACCTCCCGATGCCCACCTTTGAATCAAGGTGGTGAAGGTCGCTTTGCATCAAAATCGCGGCTTCCAAGCCTTGGGCTCAGGTTACAAGGCGCCTTGGCGTTCGTTTTGGCGCAAAACGTGGGACATCAGTGCGATGTTTTGGACGAGGACCATCATCCATGCCAATCCACAGAAAACTGGTGTAGTTGCAGAGATGTTGCACGTTCCTTCTTTGTTCCTTGACCTTTGCATGACTTTTTTCCTCCGTTCGCCTTTGCCAGGTGAAGAGCCGCATGAAGTCGCCACAGAGCTTGATGAAGAAGTTGCTTCAAGGTGCTTGGGATGGTGCTGAACTACAGAACAGCACTAAACGTCCCAAAGTTCGGAAAGGGATGGAACCCATTTGTGGGAGGGATCGATGCTTCCTCAATGATCCTCTCATCGGATGTTCTCTTTGCATTTGTTTGCATGATATCTTTATATTCTTAACGCCGGGGCGTTGGTTTTCCGCAACAAGCTGAAGGTGACAAGAGTTGGGGGCCTTTCTTTTCGAAGGGCAGGCTGGCTTGATACAGAATGTCTCTTCAACACAGGCGTCCTTTCAAAAGGAGGCGGATAGAACCAAAGTTCGTGGTCTCGTTCCGGCTTGGAGAGAGGTGGCCAGGTATGGGGTGCCTTCATCACGGTGTTCCCGTTTTAGACCATTTATTTCTGTGGTTATGAAATGGGGTGCCCAGCACGTCAGGCTTTTCCGATCCTTGAGCCAAATCAACCAGTAACACCGAGTTGGTGTATGGACCCTCGTAGCGCTTGGCTTTGACCGAAATGGGTCAATGGAAGCATGGTACACTTTTCGATTTGTGCACTCTGTACTTCATGAATCACACTCCCCCTGGCTTGGTCCAAGCCATCACGGTCGTGGTCCAAGCTGTTCAAAACTTCCATCCGACTCGCTTGAGTCGTCACGAACCCTTGAGGTTCCGGAAAAAACCGCGTCGCGGCTCCCAAGGGTCATTTGACCTGGGCCTCACTGGCATCTGCGTGGACACACCCATCCATGTTGGTGTCTCCTGATCCGAGCCTCCAGCTGGTGGTAGTGCATGATCAGGTCCTCTATAGATCATAGCGAAGCCTCCACCTTGCTGGTGTGTAGAAGCTCTGCTTCCACTCTGCCATTTGACTGGCTATCATCACCCGAGGTCATCGTGTGAACCATCTCCCGAGCCTGAACCCACCTGGCCACTGCCTTCGTGAGGAATGACTTCCCCCTGTCCGAGTGCAGCCGACATGGCCGCACCCCCAACATCCTGTAGTGAGCATGGACCTTGGAGAGCGCCTGCACGATGTCCTCCACCGCTCTGGATTGCATTGGCTCTGCAATCGTGAGGTTCTGCAGAGGAACCTCTTCTTGAGCCCGCTCCAGCGCAGCCTTCAAATTGAGCTCAGCCACCTGTTCCTCCGTAGCCAGCTCCACTTCCTCTTTCTCTTCCTCAATCTCCACCACATCTTTGACCTCCGCCTCATGGTCCAGTGGTTCCTCTGGTGCCCCAGCCAGATCCTTCACAATCGGCGCCGGGATCGTCGCCACCATCACATACTTACACCACTGGTTCAACCCAAGATCTCGCCCCTGTTCAAAAGGACCCATGATATCCACCGCCATCACGAAAGCTGACGAGGCGTTTCTTGATCGCCGATGTGGGCTGGAGAAACCCATCGCTTCCACACAATCCCGACAGTCTCTTCTGTAAGGAACGTGTTCTTGATTGATATGCCTTTTCCACTCATCCACATCCATCTTGGCCAGACCAACATGAGCTCTCCCCCCCAAACCTGAGGTTCAAGGCTAACCCAATAGCCTTCACCAGACCATCGGACCATCGTGCCCACGAACGAGAAGCTTTCATTCTCTCCTGCAACCCTCCCTCCACCGGGTCCGCTGATCCTCCTCCCCTGAGCCCATCCAGGTCTTCCAGGTGACGAAGGTTGGTAAGCAGACTCGTAGGTTTCCGCCTGGAGTGCCCCATTCTCCCCTGATCGAAGCTCACCAAGCTCATTCCATACTCGTCAATCATCCTCCTCAACACGGGCCACTCAAAGAAGGATGGATGCTCATGTCCGGCCTCAGTTCCTTCTCCCATGTAGCTGGCAGGATCCTGCGGAGATTCCAGAAGAAATGCCACCGGCTCAGGTCCTTCACGATGCTCTTCCGCAAGATGCCATAGTCCCACCTGTTTCGCCACCAGTGCGGAATCCCCTCGCACCTGCTCGCGCTCCCGGGCAGTCAGCCCCTCCAATCCCCAACGATCAGAGCCGCGGCCTCTCACCCTCCTTGGTCCTGGGGGCCCCTTGCACCTCAATCTGCTTGCGGTACGGCAGGGCGGACCTCCAACAATCCCCTTCACCTTCCCGGATCGGGCCAGCGAGCACACATAGCTCCAAACGTTCACATTGTGCATGTTGAAGCCATCCCCCAACTCCAGATCCAGGAAAATCCAATCCATATCATCCGGCAAAGTGCCCTTCCACCTCCCTGTATCCGCTCCAGAGAAAAGATGGATCACTAAGCCCCGACTTCGTTGGTGTCGACGCCTTTGACGTCTATTCCAAGGCAGCAGCTCTGGGTTCGGCTCGTTTGAGAACCCAACCATCATCTCCAGCACGTCCTCCGGCACGTCCGGCATGATGCTGCGCCACCAATTCCAATCCTCTTGGGACAACTTCTTCTGAGTCTTCTGGTTCTCCTCGAACTCTGCCAACATCACCATGGCATCCTTCCGGTTCATGACAGGGCACCCCGACCTCAACCAACACTTCACAGCTCCCAGCTGCTGGCGCATGTCCCGTCCAGTGAATGGCATACCCATTCTCCACAAGCAGACTCAGTGGCAAGATCGGCTCCACTGGCTCCAGCGACAAGAGAGTGTCAAAGTCCGGGTGCCTGTACAAGGTCGTACAGCCATGTGCAAGTTCCACCGTGATGGGCTGTAACCTCCCTCGTTCCTCAGGTCGTGCCATTCTCAATGGGTGGGTAGCTCCACCGTCCAGTAGTGCAAGCTCCTGCCCCTCTTCACTCCCTGCCACATTGATCTGCTTCAGTCTGAACGTTTTCATGCTTCGGAGAGACTTCAGAAGGGACGTGGCCTCGGTGATTAGCTCTGATGCAGGATCACCATTCTTGACCGGGTCAACTCCACCATCCCGTCCTTTTTCTCCACCACTTGGTGCCGGCCTGGTAGACATGGACATAGCACTCGTCGATGAAGTAGTTCCTGGCTTTCCTGTGTCCCCTGGGCCAGTCTCTTCCTTCTCCACCGATGCCTTTCCACTCCCCTTCAACTTGGCCGTCTTCCTTCCATCCTTCCCAGGTCGTTCTCGACCGTATGCACAATCCTTCGCAAAGTGGTTCTCCCCGGAGCAATGGAAACACCTGTCCGACTTGTTGATGCCCTCCCAGGAGTGGGCGAATGTGCAGGACTCACCCCGCTTGCACCCAGCCGTAGTCCCCCAGTAGCGGCATGCAGATTTCGTTTTTGGCTGCCCATCTCCACCGCCAACTCCACCCGCCAAGGCCTTGATAGTCGGCTGAGCTCCTGCCACCGGTTGGAGACCTGCCCCTGAACTGGTAGTCTTGGAAGACGACAGATGCGGCATAGTCAACGCCAAATCTTCCGCCTCCGCTTGTAGGAACTCTGCAAACTCCTTGGTGGTGATCAGCGTAGGCCTCCGATCAACCTCAAGTTCCTGTCGAGCCGCCGCAATTCTGAATCCCACTTGGCTTCCTCCATGCTTCGTAAGGTTCTCCACAACCTTGGACAAGGCCTGAATCAAGACCATCGAGTCCGGGATGCCCACATGCAGTTCTTCCGCTCGACAAATCCAACTGCGCCAAGTTCGTATAGCGCCCAGTATGTCCTGGATGGAGCTGCCGCACTTCACCTCCGTCAGCCTGCGCAACAAGTTGCCCCTCTCTGCATTCCCACCAGGTTGGTAGATGGCCGGTGAAGAGCTTGTACAAGATCGCCTGAGTAGCCAAGTCCCATCGCCTGGCCTCTTGGGTCATTCAACAGCTGTCGAATTTCTTGTTGTCCTGGGTGACCACTCGATGCAGCCACCACAGGAGGGCCTCCCTGGCCAGATCCAGCCCCAGCAGCTACGCCCAGCCGCTTCACCTCAGCCGCTCTCACAGGCACTGATTGCGCTCTCGCCGCCTTGGCCTTCAGCTCCTCCTCAATCAAAGCATCCAGCCGGCGATCTGCCGCTCCGATCTCCACCTGAGGCTCCACGGTCTCTTTCCTCTCTCTCGACCGCTGCTGGCGCCGTCGCCGCTGTTCCATGGGGACCAGCACTCTTCCGCCCACAAAGCGGTAAGAGGTGGACTTGGAAAAAGAAAAAAGGTCACCTTGGGCTCATAACCTGTGGTTATGAAATGGGGTGCCCAGCACGTCGGGCTTTTCCGATCCTTGAGCCAAATCAACCAGTAACACCGAGTTGGTGTATGGACCCTCGTAGCGCTTGGCTTTCTACGAAATGGGTCAATGGAAGCATTGTACACTTTTCGATTTGTGCACTCTGTACTTCATGAATCACAATTTCATTTCGTGCACTTCCCAGGGCGCAGAGTGAATGATCTCTTGGGCTTGGAGGTCATCGTTCAGCTGCTTCGCAGAAAGCGTATGTTTTTTGACCGGATTCACCGGGTCACACGAGGCTCGTGAAGCCGAGACACCCCCAAACTAGCTATCATGCCTACCTGTCCCTTGCGATGGTATATGAACATGTATGGACACCAGTGGTGCAAAAATGCATATGGTTGCGGGTAAGGGCACTTGAAAGGTGCCAAAATCATGCATTGGTCTCAGTGGATTTGCTCTTTCGCGCAACGCTTTGGTGCAGTGAACATGTTCGTTGTGATTGACCCACAGTCCATCTTGGAAGGGAGACTCCTTTTTTATGTGTCCGGGTCCTTGATTGTTGTTTCATGTTGTTGCGCTGGTTGAATTGTTCGCAACGCGTGAGAAACTTCATAAAATTTCCATCCAGACTGCAGACTCATCGGTATTATGAACATGCTGATGTTTTTATACTGCGGGCTGAGGCCTCGACATTTACTGAGTGGAAAGGCTGGTCGAAAGTGGGACACCTTCGCAGTGGGACACCTCACCTGCCAGGTGAGGGTCTCGCCATGCTTCACCCCTCAGGGTGGGGATCACTCGAAGTAAAATTTTGAAGGTAGCAACTGGTGAGCCAAGTCGAAAAACAAGTGGAAGAGCCTCCCGAAGTGACATTCCCGAAAACAAACGGGTCAGCCCGTCCTTTTCGCGCTCAGCCATCAGGCGCGTCACGCGCAAGTCACAAGTCCCACCCCTTTGGATGGTCAACCGGTAGCAGCTGCTGAACCGGTGTGTAACATGTGATTTGGCGGGTCATTCACCGTCACGAAACTATAGATTTTCTCTGATTGACATGGCCGAGAGATTGAGGATTCCAAAACTTGTTTGGTGCTGGCTCGGGATGAACAACAGCAACCGCTTTTTTGTTGTCCCCTGGTGAGCTCCGACCTGAATAAAACAAGCAGCTGCGGCAACTTGTTAGAAATCAGGGCATAATATCGGATTTTTGAAGTGGTTCTTCTAAGCTGACTCTGTGGGCTCGTGCAATTGCAGGAGCACTTGTTCAAGCATAAATTTCCATGCAGACCACCAGGACCGTGTGAACAGCCAGCATTTCGAGAGAGCAAGCTACAAGCTCATCATGTTTTTTTTTGAACATGTGGATCCTATAACCTTTGAACCAAAGGTGGGAGAGATGGGATAGAAACCATTATTAGGCTTCCCAGTTCCCGGGCTGGTTCAAGCACGCTAGAGTCGCACCTGCTTGGTGGCCTGTACATGTGAACGACCGCGACACTCCTGCAGTGCAATGAGAACACGGTCCTTTTTGGATTTGTAAGACAGAATAGCCTTGGAAAGACGCCCTCTGCTTCACAGGATCGACACGTCCCACGGTTATGTCAGCGCCAACGGTGAGTGACAACACGGCACCGCTGTCGTGCGTACGCACGTCGAACGTAGCTCGTTCCTCAGGGCGAGGCCACCGCCTTTGCAGCGGCCTCGGCCATTCTGAAGTATGTCTCGAGCCTTTTGGCTTCCACCGTCTCTCCGCGACGGTCCCGACGTGCGTCGAAACCGGGATGCTTCGAATTGATGTCGTCCCAGGGGTTGAGAATGATGTTAGGTCTGGCGGGGAGTCGAACATGAAAGATCACAGAAATTGAGGACCTGTCCCGCGGTCACCGTGACCGGGTAATGCTCATTGCGCCCCCTTCTCACCAGCATGCTAGACAGAAGCCTTTCGCGAGGCAATCTTTTCAATGGAACAGTAACATTGAACAATATTTGCTGTGAGAGTGTTCAGGGCTTCAGGGCTGCAGTGTTTTTCTTGCTGAGTCAAGCAAGGATAGCGCAAGTACTGATAGACTGCACGCTTCCTGGTGATAAGCTTGTATTTCTACCAGAAAACTAGCACTACCAGCAAGTACACCACTAAATATATAGAGGAGTTTTTCTGCAAGACTCTCTGCGCCACGCCGAGCCGGCAACGATTACGGGCGCAGCTGTGCCATCCAGGTGTGGAGGCGGGTTGGAAGATTGCGCCGAACTCCTTCAAGGACTATGTGAGCAAACCGAAAAAGTCGGGATACCAGGCGCCTAAACCCTTCGCACGGTTGTTTTAAGGGTTTGATCACTTACACACCCAAACTTAAGGTTCCTTGCCGCAACATCAGCTGTGATGTTTATTGCTGTGTCCATTGGCTTGTGTTGCGGTTTCGTGGGGCCGAGGCTTTAAGGCAACATCGTTTGTAAAATCACATGAAAGCCGAGAAGGTGCTCATATCTTCTCGGCTGTTTAGCCATCAAGTAGCCAGTCTACTTGTTTTGTTTCTAGTTACTAGTAGCTTCTTGTTACTAGTAGTAATGGCCACCACCCTAGTAGCGATGACCTCCACCCTAGCACCTTCTTGTTACTAGTAGCTGTGGGACAACCAACTGGAAACACCGCTTGTCACATCAAGTCGAGCTGCTTTTCCGCTGGGGCTGGGCCTTGATGTATTGTGGCACTGAGCCAGCAGCACACCCTAGGTAGGTAACTTTTGATTGAAGGCGATCATAGCTTCATAGTCATTCTATGAGTCGCCTGAAGAGCGCAGTAGAAACTGTGTGGCGTGGGTTATGCAAAGAATCATTTGCCGCAGATGGACAGAAGTGAGGACAAGAGAGGAGAGCGAGACTGTGGCAGGGGCGTGTTTGATTCCAAACTTGTCCAGGAATGCTCTTACATATATATTTATATATATACTTATATAATATAGATCGATATATAGATATATATATATAATTATATATAATACTATATTGTATATTGCCTTTCAGCGCTTTGGGTCACATTCAAGCTACTTACTGCTTTGACTGGGGGCCCGTGAAGGTAGCAATCCCATCCTGCTAATCGTGGTGTGATTTCGATCCTTGGCAGGCCATTCACTTAACCCTGGCGTCTTGGCTGGTCAATTCAATGGGATTGGGGTGCCAGGGTTATACCTTTTGTTTCTGGGTGTGGGGTGGTGTGCGTCAATCGCTCCAAATAAAACATGTTGCCTTTGAGACATCGGGAGGTCATGGGGAGACCAAGATTCCGAGGTGTGGGGGGAGTCCACCATGAGAATCGCCTCCTTTCATTCACCGAATTGGCATTGGGTTTGGCTCAGGTGTCATTGGCAGGGTAAACATATGTAAACATCGTAGGACATGACATTCATTGACACCTGCAACTCTCCAGGAGCGCTCATGGCACCTGTTGTTTCCGAGGTCACTGACTTCCAGGCCAACACGCTGAGCGTCCGTCGTTGGGCCCAACAGCGTCGTCCGTCGTCGGTGGACGCCCTGCTGATCCCACTGTGCAAGAAGATAATTGAACAGGGGTTGGACCAATGGCTCAAATGGACCTGTCAGACACGTCTGACATTGAAGACGCGGGCTTTTTCGCTCACCAGAGGCTCATCCGGACAAACCAATCATGACAGCCGGTACAGCCGGTACACCCAACAGAACATGACAAACGAACAGAACACCCAACATCACCGAACAGGCTGTACCAGACGCCTACCTGTAGGTATATAGATGCTGGATGGTGCTGGTGCCAGGGATGTTCTAGATCAGTTAACTCTGTTCCACCCAAATGTGGGCTCTTGGTTACTGGAGCGGAGCTCGAAGAAAACCAAAACGCCTGCATTCCCGAATCCATGGTTACATGGGTGACGTGGGTGACGCATGGTCCCAGAATTTGGGATTGACTTTCCAAAACCAAACACCGCTCCCGTTGCTCCCATCAGTTATCCCTAAGGCCATCAATCCCAAGCGCCTTGTCAACTCGAGCTGCACATCTTCACCACTCAGATGAAGCTCCGGGCGCGGGGAGTGGTGAAAACCGGGTCGGGTGGGAGAGTTTTGGCTGAGATGGGCAGCCACGCATTTGGCGCATGTAAAGAAGTGTAAGACATATAGTTATTAATGGTATATAAACATACTACATCACTATACTGTATACGTCCAGTCCTATTCCTCCGCGACCTCATGGCCTGTTGCAAGATGAGATGTTGCCAACACTTCCCGCATCCATTGCTCGTTTGCCCATTGTTTGCCCACGTGCCGCTGAAGCGGTACCAGTCAGTCGCATCGCTGGGTACCTAGCCGCGCGAAGCCTCTCGTGTGCCAGGAGCGGCAGGGTCCCGCCAGTCACGCCACTTACAAGTCCTTTCCGCTGTGCCCAGAAGATCTCATGGAGAAGCTGGGCAATGAAGGCGTGGGAATCATGGAACGTCCTCCCCAGCTTTGGAGAGAAGAAATTAACCTCATCTTGCTGACAGCCCTGCCTTGGAGACAAAGAGGCTTCCTCCCCAACTGGCCACTTCTTTTTGCTTGCTTTGTCATTTTTGTGAAATTGATTTGTGGAGCATCGCATGCCCTCAATCAAACAGCATTCTTTGCAGGTGTGGTCTCCATTTCTGAAGTTGCGACTTGGTAGGCAACATCTTGCAACCAAGAAGTTGGTTGCAAAAACAAGGTCCCTGGAGAAGTTGTTCTCTGGCCCTGACAGCAGCCGCCGTGGTCTTTGGAAGACCTGCCGGCCAATGGCAAATGATGGCAAATGGTTGAATGCCATCTATCATGGGTAAGCCACTCACGCCGAACAAATATTTGCAAACATGTCGAATCAGAGGGTGAAGTTAGGACTCTCTAGGGCCGCTAGGGCTCGATCTTGGATCGGCTGCAGAACGGCCATGCGGCCCATACGGCCAACAATGTGACAATGGGATCACGAAGAGTATTTAGTGTGAGGATAGCTGATGCTACCCAAAAGGCATGGTTTTTGGTGCGCTTCAGCATCATGTTCCCGGTCAATCCCTGGTGAGTACCCACCTGGGAATTTTTGTGGCAAGACGCAAACTTGCAGAGGTGAACAGTCTAACCAGGTGTGTTCAAGGGGCTCCATTTTTGGTCATGACATGGCATAACCAACATCACTTTGCATCCCACGGAGTGAGATGCGCATGACAGCTGGAAGGCCGCCGCTGCTGAGGCACACCACGACTTTGATGCGGATGCCTCTCAGAAGTTAGAGGAGATGTTAATGAGTTGATCATTACATCAAGATATACATGGTGCACATTGGCGGCCTTTTTTCTTGCCCCATTCCCAGCACTGCACGGTGGGTGAAGTGCACAGCATGGTTTGTGAATTGTGACAGCCCCCATGATCTGTTGGAATCCCCCGTGCCCGACAAGGTTCGACCGCAAGTGAGGCCACACTGTCAGAGTTCCTGGGGGGGAGAGTATTGGAGAGCTGCACTTCAGTACCATGGCCACGCCTGTGGCCACATCTCCATGCAGAGGGAAGGGAGATTTTTGTCATGGAAATTCCAAGTTCGAGGCCTTCATTGGTGGGTCGGTTACTTTGGACCACTTAAGAGCCGTCCGAGATGCGTCTCACGCGATCCTAATTGAGATCCTCCATGAGACTCGATTCCGTGTTGGCAGGTTGGATTGAATCCAGTCTTGAATCCACACGGGGCGACAACGACCCAGACGTTTTGGGCTCCGACCCCGGTTCGGCGCAGCCGGGTCCGCCAGGAGTTGGCCCAGCGAGCTGGCTACCAAGACATGGACATTGAAGACTTGAGACTGAGCCGAGCCCACGTGAACAAGGCCCGTCCCTGCTTGTTGGTGCTTGTACGTCCCGCGGTCCCCTTTTTCGAAGGGTTTTGGGAGGTTGACTTCGGAGGATTTTTCGAGCTTCCAAGCAGGGTGCTGGAATTTGGGACGAATCGTTGATGATTAGAAGACTTTCCACCTTGTACGATGCCTTCCCTGAAAGGAGGCCCTCTCCTACAGAAATATCAAACACTCGATCCATAATTCCTGATCTTGTACCCCGCCCTTTCCTATCCTTTCCTGACCTTGCCATTTCTTACTCATCTATATACATCCTTCCCCCAGTCACTTGGATGGCGCCCTTCCGCGGCCCAGGTGGTGTCCGCCTTCCAGGAGCTCATGGCCGCCGAGACCACCTCGACGCTCCCGCTCGGCGACGAGACGGACGCCGCGAGCTTGCCGGACGGCGCGGAGGGCAAAAAAGGGAGGCGAAGGAAGCCGTGCCGTGGGAGACCGCGGGGTTTGGCTTCTTTGGGGGTTGAGAGGGAGGAAGGAGGAATCTTTTGATGCTGCGTGAGCAAATTGTGACAGAATCGACTAGTGACAAGAACTTAAATGAGTTTGTTGCAGCTTTTGGACATGGCTGTTGCATGGTTTGGAGGGACTTTCTGGAGGCGAGTTGGTCCAAAGTTGAGCACAAGCGCAGCTGAAGGGGCAAGGTCGTGTTTCGGAGCAGTTTTAGACGTGTCAAAGATCAAGCAGTTGTGCATGAGAACCTCGAGACTATTTCCTTGCACGCCTGCAGGTTGTGGGATGTTTTTGGGCCATGTTCAAGGTCATGTGCCATATATTGATGACGTGCATTTCACCATGTGTTCAGCTTCCTCCCAGCTTCTGCTGCGCGGGGCTCAGCAATTTTGGGTTCAAGCCTCCACCCTCCACCCTTCCCGCGATGGCGGGACCGTGCCCACCGCGACCTCGCGCGGCTCGCCGTGTGGCGCGGCTGCTGCCAGTGCTTGTCTTGGGGTTTGCGAGTCACTGGGTCGAAACAGAGTGGGGGGTGGTGTCACTGCCTGACACAAGCGGTCATGTCTCGGAAGTTCGCGCATGTGTATGTGTACGGTGCTGTTGCTTTCGCATGCTTATTAACAGCCATTGCTGTTGCCTTCGCGGTTTTGTTTGTTCGCACCAGGACTCGGACGTAGCGTTTGAGGCCTTCGGCTGGAGGGTCATAAGTCCTGCATTGGGTGGAGATACCCTAAACCCTAAACCCTAAACACCAATATGTCAGCTATCCGGTGGTGACGGTTTTCATGTCACCACCGGATCGGTGGACCGGTCCCTGGCCGCCCTAACCGTGACAGAACGACCTGGGCCCCGCTCTTGGCGGTTTGAGGTTTCTATCCAGGAAGTTCCGAAGCACACCATGAATGTGAAGGGAAGTCACTGATGCGAGTCCCGAAACCCAATTGTTGAGTCTGAGATTTGGCCGTGCCATGCCGGGCCTCAATGCCTGCCTCAACGACCTGTCGGACATGGTAGATGACATGTTCGACAGAAAACCAGTTGATAGGCTATGTCGGGGCCGTTCTGAAGGCCACGACGTGGATGGTCCGACGGGTCAGTTTTCCTTCAAAACAACGCCGATGTCCGCCTTGTCCAGGTTACCTCCTGGGCCCACTTAGCTTCGTGCATCTCTCTGTGAGCAGATCGACCGTAGCGCCAGGCCCAGCAAACCGGGAGGGGCATGGTGTTTCCATCATAGCTTCTCCAAATACTTAGATGTATACGTTGCAGATATTTGCCGTGAATATGGTAAATGGAAGTTTCTTATTTTTTTGGTGTGTGTGTGTATACATGTATGCCTGCCTGTTCCATGCTCCGGCCTAGACACTTTCTTCAACAACACAGCTGGAACTTAACTTACTGTAACCTGGAATGGCAAGAGAGGTCTTGAAACTCATGGAAGATATGCTCCAACACCCAAGTTAAGTTGGCTAAGACATCAGAGTGAGTGCGCCATGTGACCGACACTGGCGGTGGTCCGAGGACGCAGAACCAGCCTGATCCGGAGAGCACGTGGCGGCGAAGGGGATGCCCTAGCGGTGGGGGACACTTGGCCGTTTCGCTTAAGGCGCTTGAATTATATGGCGCGTGAAACAGGCCTGGTCTGCGTTTCCAACCTAAGACTAAGGAATGCTAAGGATCCTGAAGAGTCCTGGACCCATCACAGACCATATCAAGCCTTTGATTCAACCCGACCATATACTGACTAGGAACTCTATGTTTTTGGGTCTATAGATATGGACGAAGCATCCTCGTCAGGGATTCAGATGGATCAAGGCAACAAAGGTCCAGTGCCACATGCTGCATTTCCCTCCTTTCCGCTCCAGGACACTGTCAGTGCACTTTGCCCTGACGATAGTCAATGGTACCCGGGTGCCATCGAGAAGATCAATGACGATGGCACCTTTAGCGTGAAGTGGGATGATCCCGATGGTGGCCCAGAGACCCACGACATCGAAGTGGCAGGTGTCGACCCGCGCGGAAGACCGGGGACGGTGAGTCGGCGACCTTGGCCGTTCTGTAGGATGGGGGCCGTGCTGTTTGCGGCCCGCTTGGAGGCGGGTGTCATGGGGTAGAGCCATAAGACTGTACGTATTGTAAGTACATGTAAGTACCATGAGTGAACAATGACGATGAGTCACTAACAATGGCACAAGGTGGTACATAAAATGTATACTTACGGCAGTTGTATTGTATATAAGTTGTTTGTTGACCCGTTTTTTTGGTAGCACTTGTTATTGTGAGGATTCATCGGGCGGCAGGACATGGGGCCCCTGGTCTGTGAAGGTGGCATGAAACTGAGCAATCACGGCCAACACATCACTATCAAACAGCTGTCTTGGACGCTATGTCACTACACTACACTAGACCTAGTGCTAGACCTACATTGAATGTGTACTATATGGCATTTGGAAGGCAAGCGCCAGCCAAATCCAGAGAATCAACATCAACAGTCTTTCGATCTTTTGGATCGAACATTTTGGGCTGACATACAGAAGGCCACACATCATGACCCTTGGTATAGCGCTGCCAGACATTCAGAAGATCGTCATCTTCAAAGACTACAAGGTCGGGCCCCACTGTTGTCGTGCTTGGAACTTCCACCACGATTGCAGTGCCGAACAGGTCCAACATTTGTATAGTTGGGGTGAGGCCAGGTCACAAGGTCATGTCTTGCATTTAGTGGCTTCAAATCTGAGACCAGAACCCAGCAAGTCATTCCTTGGATAACATGTGATACTGGTTTCCAAGCATGTTGGAAGAATGACGTGTTTTTTCCATCTGGGGATACTGTAGGTCCACTAGGTCCGGTCCTTACCGACCGCGAGCGGTCCGGTCATGCGATCCTCCCAGGTCGGTGAAAGAGTGGAAGCGATCTTCCCAGATGATGGCTATTGGTATCCAGCGGACCGGGAAGAGGGTCGGAGTCCGGCGAACACGGGAAGAGTCCGGCATATGATTCTCTTTAGGTTGGAGGCCAAGGCATTTAGGTTGGAGGCGGCCAACGCATTTAGGTTGGAGGCGGCCAA